CAGAAACAGGGGAGGTACAGTCAGGAAACCGTAGTGCTGCCTTGGGCAGGGTCCTGGTTCCTCCTCAAGGGATATACATATCTTGAGTTCTTCTGCTGGAACTAAGGCCCCTACCTGGGTGGGGGATGATAACTTCAAGCTGAGCAGGAGATTCCTGGCACCCTCTTATCTCACCACCAAATAATCAAAAGAAAGTCACACACTCTGCAACTCTCACCCCAAATTTTACCTATGAAACATTTCCCCAAACCATAAGCGAGTTCAGGTTTTTTGAACAAGAGCCATAGGTCTCCTCACTTGGCCCTGCAATAAACTGTTCTCTGCTCCAAATGCCAACATTCCAGTTTGTTTGCACTCACTGTGCATCAGGCAGGTGAACTGGTGTTCAGGAACACTGCAAGTTACAAAGTGTTAGGGCTTCTCTGGTCATCCAGTGGTTGAGAACCCACCTGCCAAGGCAGGGCACATGGGTTTGATCCCTGGTCCGGGAACACCCCACAGGTGGCAGGGCAACCAGGCCCGTGCACCACCCCTACTAAGCCAGTGCTCTAGAGCCCACACGCCTCAACTACTGAGCCCATGTGCTGCCAGTACCGAAGCCTGAGTGCCCGGAGCCCGTGCTTCTGCAGCAAGAGATGACATTGCAATAAGAAGCCCACACACTGCAATCAGAGAGTGGCCTCTGCTCGCAGCCACTAGGCAGCTTGCGCAGTAACAAAGACCCAGTGCAGCCAAAAAGAAAAATTCCAAGAGAACAGAGTGAAAAGCTAATCAAATCCTGCAGACAGGTCAAGTAAAATAGAGTGTGAGCTAACCACTGAATTTCACAGTGTGGAGGATTTTGATGACCTTAATGTGATTGGTTTGGAGGGGAAGAGCCTGATTTAGAATAGATTTAAGGACGATGGGGAATTATGGAACTGGAAAAGACTCTAGACCATTATTTCCATAAGTTTTGCTATAAAGAAGAGCAAAGAAGTGGGATGCTAACTGGCAGGGGATGTGAAGTCAAGAGGAGCATTTGTTAAACCTGGGAGAAATTGCAGCACATTTGAATCCTGATGAGACTCATCCAGTGGAGACTGAAAAACCCATAATACAGGAGCACTACGTCCTGTAGGATTCAGACTTACGTCTGCTATCTCTACCTGGATGTCCCCGATGCACTTAAAATGTAATGTATTAAAAACAGAAATCATCTCCCTTCTAAACTTTCTTTTTCTGTACTTTTTAATCTCACTTGGTAGAAACTCTTATTTGTTTACCCAATTAGAAAACTGGCATACAGCAGTGACAGCATAGTGAATAGTCTTCAGTTTCATCATGTGCTAAGCGAGGCAATGACACAGGGAGCTGTGAGCACCTAGGAAAGGGCCATGACTTAGACCTGAAGGTCAAATAACAGAAAGCTAAACAGGCTTTTTGTTTAGACCAACCCACCATGTTTAGCGATTCCATGTCCTAAATTATCTTTCAAGTTTGTCTCCTCATTCCATGCACATTACCCTGCCCCATTCATTCATTATCCCTGGCTTCTTTACTTCTATAGTTTTACAAGGAGTTTCTCAGCCTCTGTCCTTGACTTAGACTGAGGAAGTTACAAAAAATGCAAATCCCCCTTATATCACGCACCAGCTTTAAATATTTCAATGAGTCCCTCAGATAAAGGCAAGGTCATGGTTAGTCTCTCAAAGGCTCACCTCCCCTGCTCAGAGCTGTGGCCTCATACTAAGACGTTTCTCTCTTCTGTCCTTGTCTGCCTTGTAGTTCCCTTTGTCTAGAATGGTACATTTCTTCTAACCTGGCTAAGTTCTATTCATCTATGAAGAGTAGGTTTAGGAGCTATCCCTCCTGGGAAGACGTTGCCCAAGTACTCCAAACCTTCCAAGGAAAGGGACCTTACTTTGAGTTTCTACTGTTTGTCCCTCACCCACGCCCAAGTGCAAGGACCGTGTCTTATTCTCATCATTCCTTCAGTGAACATCTGTCTGTAAAGAACCGCACACATAAGGATCCAGTCTGGAGAATTCCATGGCAGTCCAATGGGCCATTCTTACCTCAAGAACCTCATGAACAGTATGAAAAGGCAAAAAGATATGACACTGAAAGATGAACTCCCCAAGTCAGTAGGTGCTCAATATGCTACAGGAGAAGAGCGGAGAAATAGCTCCAGAGGAATGAAGAGCCTGAGCCAAAGTGGAAACAACGCCCAGCTGTGGATGTGTCTGGTGGTGAAAGTAAACTCCGATGCTGTAAAAAAATATATTGCATAAGAAAATGGAATGTTAGGTCCATGAATCAAGGTAAATTGGAAGTGATTAAACAGGAGATGACAACAGTGAACGTCGACATTTTAGGAATCAGTGAACTAAAATAGACCAGAACGGGTGAATTTAATTCAAATGACTGTTATATCTACTACTGTGAGCAAGAATCCCTTAGAAGAAATAGAGTAGCCCTCACAGTCAACAAAAGAGTCCAAAAAGCAATACTTGGGTACAATTTCAAAAACAACAGAATGATCTCTGCTCGTTCCAAGGCAAACCATTCAACATCACAGTAATTTAAGTCTTTGCCCCAACCAATAACGCCAAAGAAGATGAAGTTGAACAGTTCAAAGAAAACCTACAAGACCTTCTAGAACTAACACCAAAAATAAAGGCTGTCCTTTTCATCATAGGGGACTGGAAAGCAAAAGTAGGAAGTCAAGAGATACCTGGAGTAACAGGCAAGTTTGGTCTTGGAGTATAAAATGAAGCAGGGCAAAGGCTAACAGAGTTTTGCCAAGAGAACGCACTGATCATAGCAAACACCCTCTTCTAACAACACAAGAGATTCTACACATGGACATCACCAGATGGTCAATACTGAAATCAGATCAATCATATTCTTTGCAGCCAAAGATGGAGAAGCTCTATACAGTCAGCAAAAACAAGACTGTGAGCTAACTTTGGCTCAGATCATGAACTCCTTATTGCAAAATTCAGACTTAAATTGAAGAAAGTAGGGAAAACCATTAAGCCATTCAGGTATGACCTAAATGAAATCCCTTACAATTATAAAGTGGAAGTGACAAACAGATTGAAGGGATTAGATCAGATGGACAGAGTGCCTGAAGAACTATGGACAGACGTTCCTGACACTGTACAGGAGGTGGTGATCAAAACCATCCCCAAGAAAAAGAAATGCAAAAAGGCAAAATAGTTGTCTGAGGAAGCCTTACAAATAGCTAAGAAAAGAAGACAACTGAAAAGCAAAGTAGAAAAGGAAAGATATACCCATCTGAATGCAGAGTTCCAAAGAATAGCTAGGAGACATAAGAAAGTCTTCCTAGGTAATCAATGCAAAGAAATAGAGGAAAACAACAGAATGGGAAAGACTAGAGATCTCTTCAAGAAATTTAGAGATAACAAGGGAACATTTCATGCAAAGATGGGCTCAATAAAGGACAGGAATGGTATGGACCTAACAGAAGCAGAAGATATTAAGAAGTGGCAAGAATACACAGAAGAACTATACAAAAAAGATCATGACCCAGATAACCATGATGGTGTGATTATCACACCTAGAGTGTGATATCATATAACTCACCTAGAGTCAGACATCCTGGAATGTGAAGTCAAGTGGGCCTTAGGAGGCATCGCTAAGAACAAAGCTAGTGGAGGTGATGGAATTCCAGTTGAGCTATTTCAAATCCTAAAAGATGATGCTGTGAAAGCACTGCACTCAACATGCCAGTAAATTTCGCAAACTCAGCAGTGGCCACAGGACTGGAAAAAGTCTGTTTTCATTCTAATCCCAAAAAAAGGCAATGCCAAAGAATGTTCAAACTACATTTCACACGCTAGCAAAGTAATGCTCAAAATTCTCCAAGATAGGCTTCAAGAGTACGTGAACTGAGAACTTCCAGAGGTTCAAGCTGGATTTAGAAAAGGCAGAGGAGCCATCGATCAAATTACTGACATCTGCTGGATCATAGAAAAAGCAAGAGAATTTGGAAAAACATCTACTTCTGCTTCACTGACTACAATAAAGCCTGTGACCGTGTGGATCACAACAAACTGGGAAATTTCTTAAAGAGATGGGAATACCAGAGCACACTACTTGCCTCCTGAAAAACCTGTATGCAGGTTAAGAAGCAATAGTTAAAACTAGACATGGAACAACGGACTGGTACAAATTGGGAAAGGAGTACCTCAAGGCTATATATCGTCACCCTGCTTATCTAACTTTTATGTAGAGTTCAGTTAAGTTCAGCTGCTCAGTCGTGTCTGACTCTTTGCGACACCATGGACTGCAGCATGCCAGGCCTCCCTGTCCATCACCAACTCCCGGAGCTTACTCAAACTCATGTCCATGGAGTTGGTGATGCCATCCAACCATCTCATCCTCTGTCGTCCCCTTCTCCTCCTGCCTTCAATCTTTCCCAGAATCAGGGTCTTTTCCAATGAGTCAGTTCTTTGCATCTGGTGGCCAAAGTATTGCAGTTTCAGCTTCAACATCAGTCCTTCCAATGAATATTCAGGACTGATTTCCTTTAGGATGGACTGGTTGGATCTCCTTGCTGTTCAAGGGAGAGTCTTCTCCAACACCACAGTTCCAAAGCATCAATTCTTTGGCGCTCAGCTTTCTTTACAGTCCAACTCTCACATCCATACATGACTACTGAAAAAACCAAAGCTCTGACCAGATGGAACTTTGTTGGAAAAGTAATGTCTCTGCTTTTTAATATGCTGTCTAGGTTTGTTATAGCTTTTCTCCCAAGGACCAAGCATCTTTTAATTTCATGGCTGCAGTCACCATTTGCAGTGATTTTGGAGCCCAAAAAAATAAAGTCTGTTACAGTTTCCACCATTTCCCCATCTATTTTCCAGAAAGTGATGGGACCAGATGCCATAATCTTAGTTTTCTGAATGTAGAGTTTTAAGCTGATTTTTCCACTCTCTTCTTTCACTTTCATCAAGAGGCTCTTTAGTTCTTCTTCGCTTTCTGTGGTAAGTATGCAGTACATCATACAGAGTACATCATGTGACGTGCTCGGCGGGATGAAGCACAGGGTAAAGTGCTAAAAGAAAGAAAGGGAGAAGCCCACACAAAGGGAACAAAGGAAATAGCCATGGACTGGAGTGAGAACCTCAGGTGAAACAGACATGCCCCTTTCCCGGCTAGCCCTAATTTGCATAGGGGAAGCAGGGTGGTGGGGGTGGGGAGGGGGGAAGACAAAAACGTATTAAAAAAGGGAGCCAGGATGGGCTGAGGCCTCTCTTTTGGGGTCGGCCCACCCTCATACCTCCACAGGGTACTATCCTTTGTCTGCCAAATAAAACCCTGAGCTGTAACTGTGCTGTACATTGGTCTCCTGTTTCAAGTCTTTGTTTCATTAAGACAGAGCCAAGGAAATTACACTCTCCTGACACAAGATTACTGGAAGAAATATCAATAACCTCAGAATGCAGATGATACCATCCTTATGGCAGAAAGCATAAGCACTTTCTTGATGAAACTGAAAGAGGAGACTGAAAAAACTGGCTTAAAACTCAACATTCAAAAAATGAAGATCATGGCATCTGGTCCCATCACTTCATGGCAAATAGATGGGGATACAATGGAAACTGACAGACTTTATATTGGGGGGCTCCAAAATCACTGCAGATGGTAGCTGCAGCCATGAAATGAAAAGATGCTTGATCCTTGGGAGAAAAGCTATGACCAACCCAGACAGCATATTAAAAAGCAGAGACATTGTTTGCTGACAAAGGGCCATACAGTCAAAGGTCTGATTTTTCCAGTAGTCATGTATAGATGTGACAGCTGGACCATAAAGAAGGGCGAGCGGTTAAGAATTGATGTTTTTGAACTGTGGTGTTGGAAAAGACTCTTGAGAGTCCCTTGGAGTCCACAAGGAGATCCAACCAGTCCATCCTAAACGAAATCAGTCCTGAATATTCATTGGAAGGACTGATGCTGAAACTAAACTCTAGTACTCTGGCCACCTGATGGGAAGAGTCGACTCACTGGAAAGACCCTGATGCTGGTAAAGAATGAAGGCAGGAGGGGATGACAGAAGACGAGATGGTTGGATGGCATCACCGACTCAACGGACATGAGTTTGAGTAAAGTCCGGGAGCTGGTGATGGACAGGGATGCCTGGCACGCTGCAGCCCACAGGGTCGCGGAGTTGACAGGACTGAGCTACTGAACCACCACCACCACCACCACCACCAAAGGTTAGGACTCAGCACGCTCACTCTACAGGGTGGATCCTTGGTGGGGAAACCAAAATCCCAGCAGCAGCAAAGTGTGGCAAAAAATTAAAAAAGCATCCAGTTCAAGGTTACCCACCTGGCTAGCTATTGAGTCAGAAATTAGCTCTTAGCCTGCCCCAGGGTTCTTACTCAAATGTAAAGTCCTCAAAATCCTTACTCAGGCAGTATCCAGTACAGTTTGCAAAACACTCAGATAAGGTTCCTCTTTATATCCAGAGGCAGAGATGGAATAATGGGAAGGTTTAAAAAGGAATAAAGAGGAATGTTCCTAAAGAAGGGCGAAATCAGCATATGGAGATAACAACAGTGAGGAGGGTTGGCCACCTGCGAGGAAGACCTTCCAGGGTAGAGAAACCCCGCCCCCCGCCGCCCAGGGCCCCGCGTGCACTCCAGCACAGTCCAAGGCACAGGAAACCCATTCCTCCGAAGACTACGAATCCCAGCATGCCTCGCACCCAAGGGAGCGGCAGCACGCAATGTATGCCGGGACACGTAGTCCAGTTCTCGCTGAGGAGCAGGCCAGAACGTGCCATGACGTCAGGAGGGGGTCGGGAAAAGGGAGTCAGAAACCAGTCCAGGATCGTTTTAAATCTTCCAGAGAGCTGACTCTGGTTTTCTTTGGTGACCCAAGTTTTAGGTCCCACCCCATAATCCAGCGGACCTGTGGTGTGCCTTGAGTGGCCTCTCGCCTAACTCCCTCACGGTTAAAGGCGAAGTACCATAGGGCAAGAACAGGCAGCCTTCAAGCCTCCAGGCGCCGGCTTGTGAGACTAGTGGTGTGCAGGACGCTGTCCTGGAGAGGGGCTGAGACATCGCTTTCCCCGTGTCGCCGGTGAGGACGTGGCCAGAGAGAGCCTCAAATAGCGGATTCCCCTTCCTGCGCCCGTCAGGCGAGAAAGAGAAGGGTAACAGAGGGGCGAGAGAGAGGCGCGGGCGGCGCAAAGGCTTCTGGGAGCGCGCGCATGCGCACGCCGCGGCGGGGAGTACACCCTCAACGTCTGCGGACGCTGGGGGCGTCGGGTGGCGGCGGCGGCGGCGGCGGCGGCGGCGGCGGCGGCGGCGCTTTGCGGCTGGTCGTGCGGGTCGGGCGCGGGCGGGCAGGCTCGGCGGCTGAGGCGCGCACAGGTGATTGACTGGCCAGCTGGCTGAGGCACCGCCTGGTCCTCATTGCTGGCAGGTGGCGGGATCCATTTGGGCGGCGGTGGAGGCGACGGCGGCGGCAGCGGTGGCCGGGCTCAGGAGGCACTCCCCGGGCCAAGGCCATGGCACCGCGGCTGCAGCTGGAGAAGGCGGCCTGGCGCTGGGCGGAGACGGTGCGGCCCGAGGAGGTGTCGCAGGAGCACATCGAGACCGCCTACCGCATCTGGCTGGAGCCCTGCATCCGCGGCGTGTGCAGGTGAGGCCCGCGCAAAGGCCCTCGAGCCCCTCGTCGCGCCGGACCTTGGAAAACCAGACCGTGGGGCAGTGGTGGGGGCGGGGGTGGGGGCTCCGGTTGGGGTGGGGAAGGAAGACGGCGGCCCATTGCGTGCCACTCTCAGGCTTGGAGAGAACGCGGTGGAAGGCTTCGTTCTCTCCGCCTTCTGGGCGACCCGGTAAAGGCACAGCCTTGCAGGGCTGTGCACGGAGGTGATGATGCTGGAAGCCCTTCAGAAAAGGTTCTGAGTTCTTATCTCGAAGATGGCGGTGGGGATGGTTGAAAGCAGGAACTGGAGAGCTTCGCAAACGTTGGTGGTCGTTCCATCCTGGCCGCGGCACGGCGTTTGGTCTTAGAAAACTGGGAACTTGGAAGTGCATTTCATCATTGTCTTGTTACTAGTGTCGACGCTGAAGGCTGGGTCATATTTTGGGGGTAGGGCGGCTTTAGGAAAACATACATAGTTAGTCTGCGTCATCGGTACCCATCATCACCAGTTGACATCCCCTCTCTCACTAATTTAGTTTTTTTTTTTTTTTTTAGCTCCCCCGGGGGAGGGGTCGTCTCTGACCCAGTACCGTTTTGCCAAGTACACAGTGTGATCTGTGTTGGTGTTTTCCTTCACTTCTCCTTAGCCTTCGAACCTTTTTTTGCCTTTCCTTTTAGATCGAATTCTTAGCTGATTTTCCACGTTTTAACGCGGGAACTATAGTTTGTGTTCCGGAGTGTTGTCGAATTGACTTAGCCAAGACGGGCATGCTCAGTAGCCTTTTAGCAAGTATTCAGTAAAGACTTTCTGGAGTTGTTACATTTCGAGGCAGGACCCCGGAGGAATGGAAGTCAAGGTCTCAGATCTGAAGCTTTAAAGACTAGTGTGGGAAGTGAAACGAGTTAGGGAGCTTCCATAAGGCAAACGAATAATTCCAAGTTCTGGGCGTCTGGCTCAGGAAGAGGGCAACAGGCAGTACTGGAATGACATAGCCTGTATAATAGGTAAGCTTCAGTCAGTTTCTCCACCTAGTTTCCAGGGTAACCAAAAAATAGAAATTCTTTCACTAAAATAGTTCCGATTTTAACAGAAAGAAAGGAGTAGAAATTGGCTGAGATCACTATAAAGGGGAATGTCACAGAGGTGAGTTTTAAGCTGCAACAGTAGCAAGGTTTATATCCAAGAGGTTTTTTTCTTAAATAACGTCACTCATTTAAAATGTACAATCCAGTGGTTTTTTTGTTTGTATATTCACAAAGTTGTTCCTACGGCAACTCAATCTGACTTCCCCTCCCCCTCAGAAAAAAGCCCTGTATCTGTTAGTTTGGCACTTGTAAACCATCTCCCCCACCCCAAGTATGCGAGTAATCACTGATCTACTTTCTGCCTCTAAATTGGCCTTTTCTGAACTTTTCATGTAAACGGAATCATACAGTGTGTTAACTTTGACAGCATAATGTTTTAAAGAATCATCCATGTGGTAGCATATGTCGGTTTTTAATTTCATTTCAAAAATTGTAAAAGTTATGTAAAATGCACAGTGAAATTAACCGTTTTTAAAGTAGACAATTCCACTGCATTAAGTTTCCTTACAAGTATTGTACAAACATCACCATGGTCTCCTTCCAGACTTCTTCCATCACCCTAAAAGGAAACTCCATATCCATTAGTAGTCACATCCCATTTTCCCTTCCTCCATCCCCTGGCAAGCGCTCATCTTTTTGTCTCTATAGATTTCTTTATTCTGGATATTTATTTTTTTATTTTTTCATTTATTTTTATTAGTTGGAGGCTAATTACTTTACAGTATTGTAGTGGTTTTTGCTATACATTGGCATGAATCAGCCATGGATTTACATGTGTTCCGCATCCTGATCCCCCCTCCCACCTCCCTCCCCATGGATATTTTATATTAAGTGGAATCATAAAATGCATAGCCTTTTTTTGTCTGGCGTTCACTTAGCATAATGTTTTCAAAGGTCATCCATGTTATAACACGTGTCAGTACTTTATTCCTTTTTGTGGTTGAATAGTATTCCATTGTTGGATATAACGCATTTTGTCTGTTCATCAGTTGATGGATTTGAAAGAATTTCCCGCAGCTTCATTGAGGGATAATTGACAGATACAGTTGTACATATTTAAAGTGTACAACATGAGGGACTTTCCTGGTGGTCCAGTGGCTAAGATTCCATGCTTTCAATGCAGGGAGTCCAGGTTTGATCCCTGGGGGGGAACTAGATCCCACATGCCCCGACTAAAGATCCCATGTGCCTCAACTAAGACAAGGTGCAACCAAATCAATATTTAAAAAACAAAGTGTACAACGTGATAATTTGATAGACATTATGGAGTGATTACCAGAATCAAGGCAACTGACACCTCACAACATAGTTAAATTGATGGGTATTTTGGTTGTTTCCACTTTTTGGCTGTTGTGAATAACTTTGGTATGAATATTTGTGTACAAGTTTTTGTTGGAACACCTATTTTTTGTTCCTTTGAGTATTTACCTAGGAGTGGAATTGCTGGGTCATTTAATAACTATGTTTAACATTTTGAGGAACTAATTGTTTTCCAAAGCGGCTGCAGTAGTTTGCATATAATGTACGACAATTTCAATTTCTTCTCATCCTCACATTTGTTTCTTTTTTTCTTATAGCCATCCTGGTGGATATAAATTGGTATCTCATTAATGGTTTTAATTTGCATTTTCCTGATGACTAATAAGGTTGAACATCTTTTCATGTGCTTATCGACCATTTGTAGATCTTTGGAGAGTTCTTTTCACATCCCTTGCCCAGTTTTAAAATTAGATTGTCTTTATTTTTGAGTTAGAGTTCTTCATATATTCTCAATATAAGTCCCATGTATTTGCAAATATTTTCTCATTCTGTAGGTTCTCTGTTTCCCTTTCTGGTTAGTACCCTTTGCAACAAAAAAGCTTTTGCTTTAATGAACTATTAATTCTGGGGCTCCCTGGTGGCTCAGTGCTAAAGAATCTGCTTGCCAGGCAGGAGGTGGGTTCAGTCCTTGGGTCGGGAAGGTCCACTGGAGAAAGAAGTGGCAACCCACTTCAGTATTCTTGTCTGGAGAATCCCATGGACAGAGGAGCCTGGTGGGCTACAGTCCATGGGGTCACAAACAGTCGGACACGACTTAGCTCCTAAACAACAATAACAACACAGTAGTTTTATTTATCTTTTGTTTTGGTCACTAGCACTTTTGAAACCAGCCTGATCTGAAGTTCAAGCAGTTTTTATTTAAATATCAGAAAGATTTCTCCTACCCTTTTGTTTAAGCATTTCTTCTGACTCTTAAAATATTAAATAATTAATTTTAAGATATTATCAGTACCTTTTAAATACTTTACAGAAAAATTTTTAATGAGATGCCAGAGCTGAAGAAGTGTGTAGCCACAGGCAAAGACAAGATGACTCAGAACTATTTACTTTCTGAAACTGCTTAGTGCAATCACAGCATGAAAGCAATCTATACTAAATCTTATGTACAAAGAATTCTGCAAATATTTTGTCTTAATTCTTAAAACCAGTGAGGATTGTAGTCAAATAAGTCCCTTTCCCGTGGTTTCCCCTGTGGCTCAGACAGTGAATCTGCCTGCAATGCAGGAAACCTGGGTCCGATCCCTGGATCTTGAAGATCCCTTGGAGTAGGAAATGGCAACCCACTCCAGTATTCTTGCCTGGAGAATTCCATGGACAGAGGATCCTGGTGGGCTACAGTCCACGGGGTCGCAAAGAGTCAGAGAGGACCGAGTGACTTAACACTTTCACTTTCAGGTTCCTTGCAGTAAAATTGTTTGGTAAGGGATATGCAGTTTTCATTTTGACCCATTTTGCTAGATTTCCCATTAGAGTGTTGGTTTCACTTTACATTTCTACTACCAGTGTGTAAGAATGTCTTGTTTCCATAATCAACACAACATGTTAGTCATACTTTTTCATCTGATAGGTGGAATATGGTGTCATGTTAATTTCTTTTTGTGACAGTTGAGATCTTGATTTGAATTTTTAAAATCGGAACTTGCACTTCATAGTTGTATATAGGAGTGTAATGTCTGTTTTGTTTTCATCAGAGAAACCAAAACATTTCAGAGATGTAATGCCTTCAAGAAAGTCCGTGTTATGCCCCTTATTTGTCTGTGCTTCATGGCTAATGGGACCTTAGTTCCCCATTCAGGGAGGGATGGAACCTGGGTCCCTGCACTGAAAGCCCTGAGTCCAAACCACTAACCGCCAGGGATTCCTTGTTAGGCCAGTTTACAAACACTGAAGTGACTTCCCCTGGCTCCAGTCTAAACCCCTTCATAAGGACTGTTGGATCCAATGCTCAGGTTTCTACTGAGCCTTTCCTCTTTGATGTTCCAGTGATACCTTTTCTCTGTTGGTGCACTTCCTCTCTCACTTTACCACTTTTGCCTTGCTAACCTGTCCCTGATCCTCAGAAGAGGTCAGGGAACAGATTTTTTTTTTTAATTAAAAAAAAAAATCTTAATTATGACAAATTTAAACATACACTGAAGTAGGATTTCCCTGGTGTTCCCGTGGTTAAGACTCCATTTTTGCTCTGTAGAGGGCGTGGATTCAATCCCTGGTCAGAGAACTAAGATCCCTATGCCATGTGATGTGGGGAAAAAAGAGAGAGAGATGGTAAAATGACACCCTGGGATCCCATACAGTTTTATCAGTTATTGACCCAAGATGATCAGT